TCTTTTCCTCCCTTTAATGTATTTCCTTTTTATTTTTTTGTCTTGCACACTTGAAGAAAAAGCATGCATGATTTACTTAACATTTTACTAATTTTCTCAGGTGTTGTGGATTAATATTTTGATAAAGAAAAGTTGAAAGACTGTAGCACAAATCAAATATAAATATGATACAATTTGAATATCTATTTGTGTATATGTATATATATTGTATATGTATTTTTGTTAAGAATTTATTTTAACTGGGTTCATATGCGTATAAGGCATTTATTACTATTCCACGTTTTTGTGAGTTCGTTTAACATGATGATAATTATAACAGCAGGCATTACAAAACTGGAGCCCAATCTTGCAAGCGCTCACTGATGTAACTTGACTTGCCTGTGGGATTATTAATGTCCATAAAGTTACATGTTACAAAATGCTTAAATATTTTCCTGATTTGATCTTTGTTCTCCAGGAGTCAGATCCAACTCCTATTCAAGTCAATAGGAATGTTACGATTGACCTCTGTGAGAGAATGATCAGATCCCAGATTTCTTTATGCTATGTCATTTACTGTCCAAATATATGGGCTACGTCTACACTGGCATGATTTTCCGGAAATGATTTTAAAGGAAAAGTTTTCCGGTAAAAGCATTTTCAGAAAAGTGCGTCTAGATTGGCAGGACGCTGTCAGCCGACGGTCAGGACAGTGTGTGTGTGTGTGTGTTTCCGAGAAAAGGTTTAACGTCCGTGTCTTTACTGCTAGGACCGGGGTCCTGTCGCAGAGGGTGGCCAGCAGGCCAACAGACGCCCCGTTATATAGGAAGAGCTTATTACACCTTAGATTTCAGCTGCTAGAACACAGGGGTTCCTTCGCAGTGGGCAGCCTAGGAAAGGCTGAAAAGGTGCCCCAACGGATCTTGTCACCTGGGAGTGACACAGATCCAAACGCCCAAGCTCTCCCTATGTCTGTCCCTTTATGACCGGCTGAAGTTCTTTTAAATTGTGCTTGGTTCTGTTACAGCAACTGAAGGAGTCAGGTTAAAAACTTAAACAGTTACAGGTTTATTAAAAGACTTATAAAAGTTACAAAGAAAATAAAGATAGAAAATAGAAATAATGGTACCAAGTGACAGCTTAATCTTTAAAGAGCTAAGTCTATGTGTACACTTAAGACAAAGGACCACATCCAGGTACAATTTTTATCCCCTTCTGTGCCTCTCGACTCCAGCGGGTCAAGCCAGGGCTGGTCTCTCAATTCCTAGGAAAGACGAATACGAGGTGGGCGTCCACTCTGGAACCTCCGGAGATCAAACACCAAACCCAACCAGCAGATAGATGGTAGATTGACACTCAGAGAAAATGTGCTGCTGGACCCATCTTTATACCCCTGGGGGCCCATATCCTCTTTCTTATCTAAGAGGCCAAATTCTACTGGTCCGTTTTGTGGCGCCCGTTCTTACAAGCAAGTTTCAAGTTAATTTATACTTGCAAGAGAGATAACTAAATTGTGAGTACTAGACATTTTTTTACTGGGCGAGAGATTCCTCCCCCCGCGGACGGTTGTGTGTTCGTATCAATATGGGTTAAGTCAAGGGCACTCCTTGGCAGCCTCTTGGTCAGCAATTGGCATATCTCTGTTTACAGCCATTCACGGTCACACAGCCTGGGCCTTCTGCTCTGTGTGCCCTGTATGCTCCAGGCAAGCAAAAATGGATGTTACAAGGGGGGTTCCTGTCTGGCTACAGATGCTTTTCTGGAAAAGCACTTTTTCTGGAAAAGTGTCCGTGGCCAATCTAGACGCTCTTTTCCACAAAAAAGCCCCGATCGTCATTTTCACAATCGGGGTTTTTTTGCGGAAAACACTACTGTGCTGTCTACACTGGCCCTTTTCCGGAACAGTTTTCTGGAAAAAGACTTTTGCTCAAACGGGAGCAGCATAGTTTTTCCAGAAAAGCACTGATGATTTTACATTAAATCGTCAGTGCTTTTCCGGAAATTCAAGCGGCCAGTGTAGACAGCTGGCAAGTTTTTCTGGAAAAGCGGCTGATTTTCCAGAAAAACTTGCCAGTGTAGACACAGCCATGGACTGTGCGTTTGTCTTCACTTTTTATTTTATGTAACATATTTTCAAAAAGACCACAATTTACTCACCCAATTAACTTTTAGACAAATCTACATGAGTGACTGAACAGAGCTAGTGTCAGACACACACAGGTGTATTTGAAACGTTTCTTAATAACATTAATAACATATGTTAATCAAGCTAACCTCTTTTAACTGGGTCAAAAATAATTCTGTATACATACACATGCATTGTGAACTATAGCACTGAATTATACTTAGTACTAGCAGAAATACCCGGCATCACCCAAGGAAATATAGTAAAAGGTGTGATAAATGAACTACATCAATGACATTAACATAGCATATTTCATTGGAATTACTTTTGTCTTATATACTACTTTAAGAAATTAACATAGCTAGTACCTTTTCTGTTATCATAGGGAAAGGATTTCATAGTTGCAGTTTATGTGACACGCTTAACACAAGAGTCCAGCAAATGCCTATGATCAGGCGCTACTAAAATCTAATTAGTGGTCCAGTTCGGGCTCTGGGGGTCCAATTGGGGCTCTGGGGGAAACAATTATGAGATGTAACCAATCCAGTTATTTAAGTTAGGAAATCAGTAGTATCTGTGCAAAATGTTGTGTTTCTATGATCTGACACTACTAAAAGCTAATTATCAGTGGGCCCAATTGGGGCTCTGGGGGAACCGGTGGAAATGATTTTGAGATATAACCAATCCAGTTATTTAAGTTAGGAAATCAGTAGTATCCGTGCAATATTTGGTGTTTCTAGCTCTTACAGTTTCGGAGATCTTTTGGGACAAACAAACAAACATTGAGAAATATTTATAAGATAAGACATTAATTAGTCTACAATTCTTCATAATATGGGTCCAGACTGGCCCTTTTGCGAAAAATCCATGGGAAGAAGCCATTGATGGGAAAAATCTCTGTATGTTTTACCTTGCATAGTTTTCCTCAGATTGTTTCACTGTATGCCAGTGGGATCAGCCTCTTGCTACCTGTGGGTTTTCTAGGAACTATTGGAAACACAGGGATATTTGCTTAGCAGACCTTGTATCCCTTCACACTTGCTCCAGGAATCCCTGCCCCACAATCTGTTTTCTTGGCAGTGACTTTGCTGTGGACTTCCCATGACTGTCACAGCTCTGTACTACCCTTGTCAGAAATGCTCCACACTGAGGAGGGACATGTCTAGGAAAGTTAATATTGTATTCATCTTTCCCAAGTATTTCATGTGTACCAAATGAGGAAATAGTGTACTTCACCTGTACTTAATGTGGGAATGGACCCCTCACAGGTTTGCAATCTATGCCCCAAACTTGATAAAACAGTGCACAGAATATCTAGTACTTCTCTTTTTATCAAAATATTTAAATGACACTATCAACATCTCCCTCAAAAACCTTAAAGAATATAAATGAATGAATTATGAATAAACATGGTACACTGTACAATACACATAAAATGTCACCTTAAGCACTTTAATGATACCAAATGTACATCCATGCAGAATCCATCTGCTGTACTTTGGAATGTGCCATGTAGGTATTAACATTCCACTGATTTCCACTGATTATTAATGAATGAGTGAAGCACAGAGAACCAGTTGTGAAAGAGTAAAAAAGGAGGAATTAGAATCTTTTTTCACCTCTGGATTGTAACTAACAAAGAGTTGTTTTGATGCAGGAAAGAATTAGAAGAGTTTGCAGAGATGAAGGAGAGAGAGAAGGAGAAGAAAGACCTAGAAAAGGAAGAAAAGAAAAAGGATCACCAAGCCCGAAAGATGCATTACCTCCTCAGCACAGAGCAGGTTAGTATTCCTATCCCTGACAGCTCATGCAAACCACTTGGGCCCCCAGCCTGACAGAGATAAACTAGCAGGCTGAATGGGACATGACTTGTTGAAAAGATATCACAAAGACACTACTTTGAGTTCAATTTAGTGCTTTTCTATAGGCGAGAGCAGGTACCATGACTATTCTGTGACAGCAGCTTCACAGAGGCAGCAACAGCACTGCTGACAGAAAGAGTCCAAGTCAGCAGTTTGATCTGCCACTGTGATAACACAACACGAAGGGCATAACCTCGCTTTAAAAACTCATTTTGACTGGCTTATTGTTGTGTTGTGGTACTTGTCAAGAACTAAAGTTATTAAGTTGAGGAAAGGTTTCACTTTTTCTTTTTTAATTGAGCTAATGATTGGATTGCTATTGTGCGCTTCTGCTGTGTTTTAAAATAGATTGTAAATGTAGGTTTTCAGTTAAAGCTTTTCACAGAACTGCCTGAATCAGCACATTCGCCTTGATTATTTTCACATAGGCATGCATCTTGCATTTTGAATATTTACTGATTAGTTTGTTTGCATGGCTAAAATCTCAAGACTTTCCATGTCTTCCTATAGAATATAGTTAGCAGGAAGAGAGCTGATCTTATATGGCAAAACAGGTTTTAAGAACATTTGTTTACACTCTGAAGTGCTGTTCTGTTTTGACTATATTTGTGTTCCTTGCCAGTCCCTATCTGTGAAATTTGTGCAAATGTTTTTTTTTCCATAATTGGAGAATGGTTGTTCTTCTCATGAATACCTGCCTTTGCATGTGACATTTCATGCATGAGCAAAACATTTGTTATTAATTATTTCCTATTTGTTGTTTGCTACTCATTGTTAGTTATTTGCTATTATAAAAATTATCTGTCATCCGATCAGGGAGCAGGAACCATATGACGCAGTGGCAGAAATTTAGCCTTTTCCAGTGTTTGTGAATCATTTATTAACAACTCATTGTTTAAAACTTGTTTGAATTAATTATAATCAGGTTTGAAAACCAAATACATTAGTAAAAATAAGTAACTTTAATTGCAAAATTGCTGAAATTCTAGGTCTGTTCATAAGCAATTTGAAAACAGAGGAAAGGCCTAAGTTACTGAACATTATTCACCACAAATAATTTGCCCACATGTAGAAATAGTACATTTTCCACATAGAATGTTCTTAAAATCTTTACATTTTCTTTCACCATTATTTGGAAAAAATACCTTTTTTACAATAATTTCAATAACATATCAAGTGAAAATATTAGAAATAAGGAGTCATAACAAACCAAGAGTTAACATGGCTAAAATGTTCTGTGTCTTTAGTATCTGAAAATATAACTGTGGAGTGTACACCATTCTTTTAGATGGGTAATGAAATGAACTGAATGACTTATGCGCTGAAATATAAGGAACTCATTTTGTTCCTGATAGCGCTAGGTTAGAAAACTGCTTTCTCCTTTGCCAGTGGGGACTTGTACACCCCAAGATTCACCCTTAAGGTATGTCAGGCAGCTCTTGTACTTCAGCCCTTAAGTTGGGGTTTTCCTGGTGGAGGGCAGTAGTAAGCATAGTGGTCTTATAGATTTGAGTCTCTGATATAACAAAAACAAAGCTTGACAGACAAGGTTTTGCAGAACTAAAACCACTCTGTTTTTGCTCTCTGCCAGGGGATATATATTCCATGATTGTGGGGCCACAAAATTTGCCCACAGAAGTCATGGTATGGTACTGAATTGTGCTCCAGGAGCTGAGTTTTATTTTTTTTATTTTATTTTTTAAAAAGCATTCCCTCTAAATCAGTGGTTCCCAAACTTTTTTACCATGGACCGGCAAACTCATTCAAAAACTTTTGGCAGACCGACACAAACATTTGCACATTTGTAATAATAATTAATATATTTGAATATGTATTGTGGTGATTAATTTTAAGCAGGCATGTTATTTCATCTGTACACACACAATACATGTCATTGTGTGAATGAGAAGATCAAGATCATACATTGTTAAACAGAAGGCATACTTTGCAGAATAGTTCTGGTTTTCACTAGTTTTTGGAGAGAGGCAAAGGGGTACAACAGGCAGGGCAGGAGAAGGGGAGCTGTGGCCAAGAGAAAGAAAAGAAAAGAAAAGAAAAGAAAAGAAGGATCAAGATAGGAGAGGCTAGGCTGAAAGCAGTGGGGCACTGACTCCAACTCAGAGGGCTTCTTCCACCATGTCCCCTCACTCCACCCCAGCTGTCTGGGTAGTGGTAGCCCCTGCTCAGCCCCAACTGCCCCGCAAGAGGGTCCCCGAATCAGCTCCTAGGATTCAGCGCAGCGAGGCAGCCTGCTGCACCACATGGCCCAACTGTCCCCGGAGCAGCCCCACTCTGCTATGTAGGCCAATTGCCCCTGGAAGAGCCCTGCTCTGCCATGCAGCCCAGTCTCCCCAGAACACCTCCACTCAGCCATGCAGGCTGGCCACCCGAGGAGCAGCCCCACTGAGCCCTGTGGCTCAGCTGCCCCAGGAGCAGCCCCGCCCCCCGGAGCAGCCACCTGCCACACAGCCCCGCTGGCCAGCTCATGCGGCTGCCATGGAGCTGGAACTGAGGCCATGAAGATGCTGCCTCAGTAGGGACAGCCTCACCGTGGCCCCGCGGCACATGGGGTAGCTGCCCGCCATGCTGCCTTGCCATCCAGGCAGCGTGGCTGCTGTGACCCGGCTCCAACCACAGCACATGGCTGGGGGCATGGCCTCGCAGAGTGCCACGGCCTGGCAGGCAGGTGATTTGCAGCCTGCAACTGATCCACAGATCAGTGATGGGGAACCACTGCTCTAAATAACAAAAAACCTTAATTAAAAAAATAAGTTAAATTATGGTACATTACTGGCACTCATTTTAATTGTTAAGTCTGCACTTTGCCTCTTCATGCAGCAAGATGGTGTGATATTTGGAGTTTTATTTCATAGCTCTTTTCTATATTGAATTGCTTGTTTGTAACACATTGCAAATTAATATAATGTTAAAGTTTATAAATATTAAATTTTTGAATTTTCTGCTTCTGTCTCCATTATGTAATAATGACATCCATTATTTTAAAATATATTATAATTGAGAAAGTTCCAAAATGTTAAAGACTAATATCTGTAGCCTAAAAATAGGCTGTCCTAGATCTGAAGAAGTTAGTGTTCCCTAGACTTTTCAGAATTGTAGCTTTAGACACTTGTGGCGCTAATGCTTGAGATTTCATGTTGATGTCTTTTCCTTAGGTTCTGCAGCACTAACATTAAGACTGCTTTTTGTGACACCAGCAATTTGATTACTAGAGCATGTCAGTGTTTACAAGTTCAACAATTATAATTTTACAAAGGCTACAAATTAATGTAGTATTTAATATAATGCAACACTTTATCAAACTCTATAAGAATTTGCAAAAAATATAGCACTTTATTATTGATGGTTGCACAAATGTAGTTTTTATACAGATATATGATTACATCAGATATATGATTACATCAGTTATACACCAGTATTTGAATTAACAATCCTTTATGATTTTATTAATTTAAAAATAAGTGTATTTTCTGGACATCTACATTTTAGAAATCTAAACAAGTGAGCATATTTGTATAATCAATATTCACTAGCTATAATAGGGTTAATTTGTTGTCAAACACTTAATCAATCATTATGCCCGGAAAAAATGTTTGTTATGCATCCCACTAACTTGAAAAAAGTACATTTTACAGCTTTAGAAGAAAAACACTGCCTACTTTTTGTCTCTGATATAGCTAATGTTCATGTACTACAGATGCAGCCAAAAATTGTAGCTGTAAGAGAAGGTCTGAAAATAGAACATGATTTTTTTTTATATGAGTAAAACTAAGTTGGAAAATAATCCCTTAAAATAAATTATGAGCTCTAAAATTCTATGCTTATGAAATATTGAGCTTTCAATCAACTTGCTTTATGTATCAATAGCTTCAATAATTAGTCAAGTAATATCTAACATATATGAACTTCCTTTGAAGAAAATTTCTACAGAGTCCATGCCCTTGTTATCAAGTAATAAATTATGTTGTATGCTCCACCTACTGGTTGCTTTTTGGAAGAGATTCCATTGTGGAACATAGATAGAAATATCTTGAAAAGGTATCAATGCTGTTATCAATTTAAATTCTGTTAGAAAAACTGAAGTCCTCTCTTTTGGATTTTAATGGCTCATATATATTTTTATGCTCAACAGCATAAAAGTGGTGCATTTTTTGATGAACACGATACCTTAAAAACACAAAGAGCTAAAAATTGCATGATAGGTTAACAAAAACTCTGTCTTTTTTCAGATTATTGCTTGGAATACAAATGTTAGTCGCATATTACAGAATAAAAAGAATTCTACAGATTGATTTTATATTTTGATTTTATTATTTCTTTTTACATTTGTAAATCGAATCATCAACAGGTTTATAAATTATGTTTGCAATCACTCCATAATTCTAATGTGCAAATTGGTACAATCTTAATGGATCCCTTTGTGATATAATCATTTTTTAAATAAGAATTTTTTATTTAACATTTCTTTTATGAATATGTACAATATGTCTGCTTTTCTCTCTTTGTATTAGTGAACTCTGACATACTTACGAAGGTTTTATCTGTTCTCCTGTAAATACATATTAGTAAGTAAATGTGGCAAATGGATTAAGAGGCCAATTTTCCAAAGTACTGACAAATTGTAGCTGTTTTTTAAATCAATGGAAGATGAAGCACCTTAAAGGAATCATTCCCCACTTCTCAGGATTGGATTTGAAAGGGCGATTCTTGATGAAACAAGGGACTGCATGTCTCAGTCGCTGCATGATTCTAATAGCTCATATTCCCAGATGTCTGTAGGCATACAGTAGCAGTGAAAGTCAGGCTTTTCTTGTGAGTGTATGATGGACCAAATCCAGAGCTTCAGCTTCAATTGAGACACTCTGTATGTCAAAGTCTGAAGAAACCCTCTGCTATTATAA